AAAAAAAATAAAATAAAATCACTGGAAAAAAAAAAAAAAAAAAAGATTGGACACTAGGTTTTACTAAAATTTGAAACCCAAGAAATTAAGCAAGAACTCAGGGCACTAAGGAAAGGAACGACTACAAAGTGAAAATCTTGCCATGGGGAGAGAAGGTAACCTGGAAATTTACACGTGTGTTTTTGAAGAGGGCTTATCGTCAGTGTGATTTTGAAGGCCTATGTTACTCTTGAAGAAAACAGAGTGAGGTGGGAGAAGAGATGGGAAGAAACCAGCTAAGCACTGGCTCACAAAACATTTGGTGACCTTGATATTTTTTTACTGTATTACCTTGTTGCCAATTTATGATGGTTAAGTTCCACACCAACAAATAGAACATTTGCCGACAAGTAATATGCCAGTACGATGTGGTTGCAAGGTTACTACTGCTGCTCTATTCCAATATACTCTAGGAATTCTACGGCAAATTTAAAATTAACTTTCAAGTAGTTTTCTCCCCTATACAAAGGATGTTCACTCATCTAGCCATGACAATAACCATGCTTATTGAGAAAAAAGAAAAAAACACAGTAAAACTACCTACCCGTTGTCCAGGTGAAAAAGAATGAGAGCAACTAACTTCACCGACTAAATGGAGAAGAACAAAGGTCAGGTAATAGGCCTGTTAGAGAAATGAATAAAATTAATTTCCAGATTTAGGACTTGTGATTTAGGGGAGAAACTTAAGGAAGGTATCAAATGGCAGTACAATTGAGGTCATGGAAAATGTTTTCTAGCTAACAAAGCTGTCACCCCAGTTTACATGTAGGAATGTTGTCCCAGGAGCCTCAAGGATTTGCTAGGGTTAAACCAACTGGCAAGTGGGAAGAATGCAAGCATTTACTCTAGGCTTTCTGATTTCTATGTCAAGCATATTCTTTTTATCATCCAAGGCTACAAAACAATACTCCCAGTATTAAAGTATTAACAACCATCCTTTAAATCAGGGGTCCTCAAACTTTTTAAACAGGGGGCCAGTTCACTGTCCCTCAGACCCATTGGAGGGCTGGACTATAGTTTAAAAAAAAACCATGAACAAATTCCTATGCACACTGAACATACCTTATTTTGAAGTAAAAAACAAAAAAGGCAAAAAAAACCGGCCGGCCCGATAAATGCCCGCAGCGGGCCACATGTGGCCCACAGGCCGTAGTTTAAGGACCCCTGCTTTAAATGATCAACACTCAAGTTTAAGAATGTCAGAGTATCAATAAATAAGTACATTCAATTTATAATCCATTTGCTAGAATATACGTAGTCTTTAAGTCAGAAATATCTGCGCCATTGCAGCCTGTCCAGTAAGACAGCAGGTGTCAGTTGTGCTCATATGTACTCTTCAGGTCTTCTAGGCCGGATACCTACCTGCTTTTCAAGTTCCAAATGGAGACTCTCATCAATGGTGCCATTTGGTTGTTCAGCCCTTTTCTTCAAGACCATTTTCTTTAACAAATGAGAAGGCTTCATTTGCACAAGATAGTGATGTAGAACTGTTATCTATCAAGAAACAGAAAAACACATTAAGCAGTGCTAGCCAACACAGTGGCTGTGTCTAGGCTACTTTTCTTATTTTTGCTTGTCACAGCGACTGTATTTGTGGAGCAAGGGTGGGGGGAGGGGACCCAGGGGGATGACAGACCCGCAACTGGGGAGAGACTGGGACCCCCTAGAACTCCTCTCTCTCATCCTCGCCATCCACAGACTCTGTGCCCACTTCTTCGTATCCTTTGCAAGGGCAGCCAGGTCCTCTCGGGCCTCGGAGAACTCTCCTTCCTCCATGCCCTCGCCCACGTACCAGTGCACAAATGGCTGCTTGACGTATATCAAGTCAAACTTGTGGTCAAGGTGGGCCCAGGCCTTGGCGATGCCTGTGGTATTGCTTAGCATGCAAGGCTGTACCTTGGCCAGGTTTCCTCCTGGTATCACTGTCAGGGGCTGGCAGTTGATGCCCACCTTGAAACCCGTGGGGCACCAGTCCACAAACTGGATGGTGTGCTTTGTCTTGATGGTGGCGATGGCCGTGTTCACGTCCTTGGGCACCACGTCCCCACGGTAAAGCATGCAGCAGGCCATGTACTTGCCGTGGCGAGGGTCACACATGACCATCTGGTTGGCAGGTTCGAAGCAGGCGTTGGTGATCTTGGCCACAGAGAGCTGCTCGTGGTAGGCCTTCTTGGCCGAGATGATGGCTGAGTAGGTCACCAGGTTGGTCTGGGACTCGGTCAGGTCCACGTTGAGCGCACCATCGAAGCACAGGGAGGTGGTGATGGAGGACACGATCTGGCCGATGAGCCGGTTGAGGTTGGTGTAGGTGGGGCGCTCGATGTCCAGGTTGCGACGGCAGATGTCATAGATGGCCTCGTTGTCCACCATGAAGGCGCAGTCCGAGTGCTCCAGGGTGGTATAGGTGGTCAGGATGGAGTTGTAGGGCTCTACCACGGCTGTGGACACTTGCGGGGTGGGGTAGATGGCAAACTCCAGCTTGGACTTCTTGCCGTAGTCCACCGAGAGCCACTCCATCAGCAGGGAGGTGAAGCCCTAGCCGGTACCACCCCCAAAGGTGTGGAAGATCAGGAAGCCCTGAAGCCCGGTGCACTGGTCTGTCAGTTTTCGGATCCGCTACAGCACCAGGTTGATGATCTCCTTCCCCACAGTGTAGTGGCCATGGGCATAGTTGTTGGCAACATCTTCCTTGCCAGTGATCAGCTGCTCGGGGTGGAAGAGCTGCCTATAAATGCTCGTTCTTACCCCATCTATGACAGTGGGCTCCAGGTCCACAAAGACAGCCCAGGGCACGTGCTTGCCAGCGCCAGTCTCGCTGAAGGTGTTGAAGGAATCGTCACCACTCCCCAGGGTCTTATTGCTGCACATGGTGCCATTGGGCTCCATGTTGTGCTCCAGGCAGTAGAGCTCCCAAAAGGCATTGCCCATCTGCACCCTGGCCTGGCCCACGTGGATGGAAATACACTCACGCGTGGTTTTTCCGATTGGCAAAGCTCGGTGACTACAGACAGGCTACAAATCTCCAGTAACACCAGAAATCCCTAGGCTACTTTTTGCAGTGTGTTACATTCCTTAATTCTGCCCCTTTAGCTTTCCTTTAGTGCAATGATAGCAATTTCAATTGCTTAAACGGGATTTTAAGTTTAAGACTTGTGGACATTAAGACATAACCATTGGTTTCTCCCCTGGTAGAGCAAAGAAGAGTGAAGAAAATCAATGACACGGGAAGATTTGTGTATATGACGCTGAGATGAGAAGAACTAGATGGTGCCTGATTACCACTACTGATCCCTCTGAAAGTCATCCCAACAGGTGGTTTTGGCAAGTGGGGGGGGAACTGGAAGCACAGGGAATCTAGGACAGATGAACCCCTCAGGACCAGCGGTGTGGGGAGCGCTGGAGGGAAGGGGGGGGGGGGGTAGAAAGGGAGGGAGAGAATGTGGACTAAAATTCAAAACATAAAGAAAGGCTAGAGTTACTGGCCAGATAAAGAGTGGAAACCTGGTGCATAAGCAAATGTGGTGAAGAAAGCTGATGGTGCCTGGCTATCAAAAGATATAGCGTCTGGGGTCTTAAAGGCTTGAAGATAAACAAGCAGCCATCTAGCTGAGAATCAACAAAGTTCACATAGAAGAAGCACACCAGCCTCTGTGATCACGAGGAGCCGAAGGGATCAGTTATTAGGCATTAAAGAACAAAAATCCTATCATTGAGAATGAGGGGAAGTGTGGAGTGGGGACCCAAAGCCCACCTGCAAGCAACTGGACATCCCCTGCAGAAGGGTCGCAGGGAGGAGACAAGCCAGTCAGGGTGCAGTGTAGCAACGATGACATACACAACTTTCCTCTAGTTCTTTAATGTTTCCTCCCCCCACTATCATGATCCCAATTCTACCTTACAAATCCGACTAGACCAGAGAATGTATACCGGTACAGATAAGAGCTGGAAACACAGGGAATACAGGACAGATGAACCTCTCAGGATCAGTGATAAGAGTGGCATACTGGGAGGGTGGAGGGAAGGTGGTGTAGAAAGGGGAAACTGATTACAAGGATCTAATATAACCTCTTCCCTGGGGGATGGACAACAGAAAAGTGGGTGAAGGGAGATGTTGAACATTGTAAGACACGACAAAATAATAATAATTTATAAAGTATCAAGGGGGGGAGGGGAAAATGAGGAGCTGATACCAAGGGCTCAAGTAGAAAGCAAATGTTTTCAGAATGATGATGGCAACAAATGTACAAATGTGCTTGATACAATGGATGTATGTATGGATTGTGGTAAGAATTGTATAAGCCCCCAATAAAATGATTTTTTTAAAAAGAGTGGAAACCTGGAGACTACAGCCCTTAGACACCCACTAGGCCTGGAACCTAACTCACCTTGTGACTCAACTTTCAGCCAAATAATAGATACTTGTCTAGAGGTGAACCATAATACCAGGTTATACATTTTTTAGAACAATCTAACAAACTAGACCAACAGAGCACCGTCTGTCCAGGAATAAGGGTCAGAAGGCAAGAAATAAGGAGGAGGAACAGGAAGGAAGAATGAACAGAAATGGTAAGCACAGGGAGGAAGTAAGAAGAGTGTTGTTACAAAGCAGGGATTGCAATCAATGTCACAAAATAGAATGTGTATGAATTGTTGAACAGAAAGTAATCTGCTCAGTAAACCACCACAGGCTCAAGAGTCATCTCTTGAGCAAAATCCAGCAGAGTCCCCATCAACCAGTCTCCATAATAGCACCTCCTGCATACTCGCTTCTATCACTTTAACCCTTATACCATACCACAACAGGTGGCTTGTATTTTTAAATTGGAGTTTATATCTAATTTGCATTTTTATCCCTAGGGCCTAGCAGAACACCTTGTATTGAACTGCAATTGAAACAAAACATAGGGGGACATTCAGACCAGGCTCGGGTTAGTTTTCAAATCTGAGTAAGGATAACCTCATGAGTGTTGAAACGTAGAGATGAGCAGAACTCCCGAGACAATGGCCTTTAGTCAACCTTCAGGTCTAGAAACGAACTCACCCCCAGGGCTCAATTTTCAGCCCAACAAGTGGTTTATAAGGGAAACAACATTTGTGAGATAAGAACACATCAGAACAATCAACCATTTGAGATCAAAAGGGCAATATTTTTACACAAAGACCAAGTTCAGAAGGTTAGAAAAGGTGTGGAAACAGAAAGCACAGGGAGGAAGTAGGATAAGTGAGTTTACATCAAAGGGATTGTAATCAATGAGATGAAAAAAATGTGTATGAATTGAATGTAAAAGTAATGATCTGCTCTGGCAACCTTCACAGAATTGACCATAAAAAGTCACCCAAAAAACCTTCAGGATACATTCATATGTATGACGTATTCCTTACTGAAAGGTAATCACATTTATGCTCTCAGATTTAGACTTTTTAATATTAAAACCAGGTACGAGATGCAATTCATGTACAATAGTTCTGTGATTTCTAATCTTGTGATAAGATGATTAAAAGTGAAGAACTGAATCAATTTGGTAAATAATATCGCTTCATATTGGTAGGATTTTCACATTATGACTTTCCCAGAAGTCTCTGTACATTAATTCCATTGTAGGAGGCAGGAGGGTAAGGCAGACGGTAGGGCAGGGTTTCCATTTCAGAGATGAAGATTTGATCTTGGTAGTTGCGTACTGTGCTGGAGATGAGATAAATAGTAGTATCTCTGAGAGTTGAACTCTAACTCTAGGGCTTCTGACTTAGGTCCCATCAGTTTTCCCTCAAATTAAACTACCTCTCCCCATTTATTAAAAGAAAAGAAAAATGCATTTGTACCTGCAGGTTACTGGCATTAGGGATATCTTCCTGCTTCTCTTCCAAAAGTTTTGAAATAATCACCAGACTAAGGCACTGTCTCAGTTGCCTGGAATTACAATGTAAAAATATTTAAAATATATTGTAATCAATACTTCCAAGAATTATTCCAGTTCCTCTAATTGGAACACACAGCAAGTGTTTTAAGAAGAGTGCAAAAAAAAAAAAGATAAACTTTAAGTGAACACTAAACGCCCCCCCCAAAAAAAAATCATGTAAAATACTTGTACATAATATTAGGCAGAGTTGCCTGACATTCGGGGAAAACATTAAGGATTTTTTAATCTTTGATCCAGCTGGTTTACTGATAGAAGAAAAAAAAAGAAAAGATTTTATTGCTATAATTTCTTTTTTACTAAAACAAAAGGGTGCTAATTCATTTATTTTCATGGTATATATCATCTATATTAAATTTCCAGATCAACTACAAATTTTAAATGTAAGGTTATTACACAGTGACCTAAGATAAGTATCAAATTCAGCTCTCGATGCCCTTTCCCACAAGTGAACATGAAAAAAGGACTCTGAACATCCAAGGAACAATGACGGAAAACAAAGGCTCCTGAAACATTTCATGACCACAACACTAAAGCTCCTCAATGTTTAACCTCACTTTTCAATACCTTCCACGTGATGTCCAGTTAGGAACCAACTGTACCAACCACAGGAGGTTGTGGGGATGACTGGAGAGGTCATTTATGGCTTCGCAGAGTTCAGGCACCTGAAAATAAAGAGAGCAAGATTTCTTTTCAAAAGGGTCAGTGGCGTCAAACATTTAATGGATCACCTAATACCCCTTCTTGTACTGCCTGGTATTATAAAAACGAACTTTGTTTTAATAAAGGTGTAAAGTTTAGCACCTGTTGGAATGTATAGATTATGTTTTATCTTAAATTCTGAAACAAATGCATCAGGATTTCATTTGATGAAATACTATTACATATATATACTTAACTAATCCATCTTGGAAGAACAGAGTGATCTCAGTACAGGTATCAGCTTCCTAATCTGTATAATATGAATTGGACAAGATCACGGATGTTCCTGATCTGGAATTTATTGCACTTTAGGAATCCCCACTGAAATGCAGTGAATTATTTAAAATGGTTCTTCTAGCCACACTCTTACACCCACCAAAGACTTTGTTTTTCTTCCTGGGTCTGGGTACGAAGGTGGGGGAAGATACTGATTGGGTTATGATTCTGCGGTGAGTGATTGTTAAAAACCGGCCATCTCAGAATCAGGAAGGAAGGAACCTCACTACCACTAGGGAAAAAAGAGTCACGTAGGAAGCAAGCCCTTTGAATCCTGAGATCCCTGTATAATGAATCTCTGATCCAGGACAATGTCTTTACCACCGGAGGACAGACAGAGGTGCAGGAAAAGCAGAACCAGGAGCCAGAGCAAGAGGCAAAGTGGTGGACTTCCCAGCCCACAGAGCAAGTAAAGCTGAGTACTTTTGGACAGGAGGCTAATTTGTAGAGGTACCTCTGAGCACTGAATTGGAGGAAATGGAGCAAGTGCTTTTGGGTCGAGACTTATAGTAGAGTAGCATGCACTTTGGGCATTTGTTAGCAGCCCTATAAGAGCTTTGTGACATTGCCCAAGCTGGGCAGAGGCCAGGCCAAGAAGCTGAGGGCCGGAGTCAGGGTTGCCTGCAAGCAGGGCACAAAAGAAACTATTGTCTACACACGCCTCACATGAATAAGCCCCGTGATTATGAGCATCACCTGTGAGCTCTGTGTGGTCACAGCAATGAACTACTGAACCCAGCTAAAGAGCAGAGTGCCTTGGGAAGGAGGGCACTCCTTCAGGGCAACACTGATGTACAGTTTGATTTTCCTTCCTCCAAGTGAAGCCAGAAGAAATCAGTTCCCACCCCCATATACTTTTCATTTTCTAACACACTATTTTAGTATTTAACAACAACAACAACAACAACAACAACAACAAACAGCTTGGCTTCAAAATAATCCAGAGGGTTCAAGTCTTAAGACGGGGGTAACAGATACTCAAGAAGGACATGTTGAAACTGTGTGATGGGAACCTTGGGATTCATTAATATCTTTCTACATCTGCACGTTTGAAATTATCTACCAAAAAAGGTTGAAAGAAACATTTTTAAAAAGGTCTAAAACAAATTACATACACATTTACTTTCAATATGGCTAGAGAACTCACTGCCATCAGGTCAATGCCAACTCATAGTGACCCTACAGGACAGGGTAGAACTGGCCCTGTGAGTTTCTGACTGTAATTGTTTACCAGAGTACAAAGCCCTGTCTTTCGCTCTCAAATTGTTGGTGTATATAAGCTTGATTCCATCATCTCAGTGAGATCGCTGCTCAAATGTTACTTCAGAAAGGCCTTCTCTGACCACATGATCTGAAACAACAGTGTCTCTGCACAGCCACTCTCCAGACCGTGTGGGGCTTTGTTTTTTTTGCAGTGTATATCTCGACCTGACATGGTATTATAATACATACATAGTTGATTAACATATAACGCAGCCTGAAGAGAAAGCCCCATGAGGATACGGACTGGTTACTTTCCACAGCTGTATCTCTAGTACCCTTACATGAAAGCTAGTCCTATAGTAAATCCCTCAAAACATGTTTTTGATGCAGAAACAGCTGCAGCTTTAGAAAAGACTCCGTTACCATAAATGTAAACAATCCCGTCTCAAACAGAGTTCTTTTCTCAGTTCATTTTTCATCTGGCAAAGCTCTCGCTGAGTTTAGAAATAGCATTAATTCTCCATGCCCCATGAAAGTCAAATTATGATGCCACAAATAAAACCAGCACAAGCTTTAAGTAACATTACCTTTGTGTTCCAATCTCTGATGTTTTTCATCAGGTTTATCATGAGGCTTTGAAAGTCCACCAGAGGAATCTGCTTCAGCTGCTTTTCCAAACTCATTTTACACAACATTAAAATCAGCAACATTATTTCACGGTCCTGGTAACCTTCTGGATATATAGATGTACACAGGCCTAGAAACTTTAACAAACGCATATACAAAACAACTTTAGGCGATGAAGAGTTTTCATTACAAAAGGTTTTGACTAAAGATGTCAAAGAGATCTATATAATAAAGCAAAGCACCAGATGTTCAGGAAAAAAGGCAAGGAATACAATTGTGTTAAAAGCGGAATTATCTGGGAGGAGTACTTTCTCCATTTACAAGATTTTCCTTTTAAGAGTTCAGTGTTACTGATTTGATTCAGCCCTTAAGCATGCTTTCACACGTTATACTCTGCAGTAGCATTTCCATTCTAGGCAGGGCACAGTCTGCTACTTTAAAACATTTTCAAGTACGTAAGCCCCCGGACCACTAAAAAGTAATAATTTTTTTCTTCATGCATCCTATGTTAGAAAGTGATTTCTAAGATTGATCTGAAAAACACACAAATGAGTTTCTCCCTACCTTAACCACATTCACAATGTTGGTTTCGGGAAGAGTTGAAAAAATTGGCTCATCAGACGACTCCTCAGTCCTTTTCCCTGCTGATGTCCCCTGTGTTTCAAAACTTCTGAAAAGTGAAATAAAGATGAAATTATGTTTTGATAAATGTATAACTAGTGAAACTCCCTCACTGCCCCCACCCCAAGTTCCTTGCCTCCCATTGGAGGCAAACACTGATCTGATTTCTTTCCTGATGGTTAGTTTTCACTGGATGGTTACTTTTTATATGGCACTCTTACTGCTCTTGGTGTCAGAGCTATCTAGATGCTGCCTAACTAAAAAGAGCTCACACTACTACTTAGCTGAAGCCTCTAGACACTGCCATGGCAATACAGAAACCAAATTCTAGGCACGTACAAATGACTGTTCACCAAGAGACTCATGAACTTGACTTTCAAGAGATAGACGATATCTTTAGTTTTTCAAAACATACTATGTTTATGTAGTTAAAAAACAACCAGAAGACATCAAAGGGGGGGTATACTGTGAATAATTTCCCTCCAATCTGGCTCTTAAACCACTCATCCTTCTCATTCACTCCCCTCCCCAATTAATCACTGCAAGTTTTTGCCCTTACATTGGAATTTTATATACACACAAAACAAATACATACACTTCCCATCTGTATTGTACAAACGGTAGCACACTATATAACCTCTTTTGTACTTTTTTCCTACTTAATAATATACCTCAGAAATTCTTCCATAACTACATGGAGAGAATTTGATTTTTGTTTTACATACCTGTTTAGGATTCTATCTTGTCCTTAGTTGTATAATCTCAGTCAATTTATCTTTTCTGTGCCTATCTCACTTGTAAAATGGGTCTGAAAATACCATCTAATAGTTACAGTGACTATTACCATATGTACTCAAGTATAAGCGGAGGCACCTAACTTTACCACAAAAACTGCATCAAAAATGTGCTGAAAAACTCGACTTATACACGAGTATATACAGTGAGTAATGTGCTGTATGTTAAGCCCTCAGTGTCTAGCATATAGTAAGCACTATATAGGATGATGATTGTTAATGTACCATGATTTATTTTAACCAGTTCCCTACAGAATCTTTTGCTTTGATGAAAAACATGCTTCATCAAGTGAAGGAGGAAACATTTTGGTGGGTAGCTACTGAGAAAGGAGGAATGGGATTAGCACGAGGCTCATGTGGAGGAATGGAGGCAGATCCATTTGGTTAGAACAAGAGCGAGGGTAGAATGGAAAATAGATCAGAGTCAAATGGTTGTCTTAAAAACAAATTTTGGAAAATAAGCAAATGTGGTGAAGAAAGCTGATGGTGCCCAGCTATCAAAAGATACAGGTCTGGGGTCTTAAAAGCTTGAAGGTAAACAAGCGGCCATCTAACTCAAAAGCAACAAAGGCTACTTGGAAGAAGCACACCAGCCTGTGGGATCATGAGGTGTCGAAGGGATTGGGTATCAGGCATCTAAGAAAAAAATATCATAGTGAATGAAGGGGGGAGTGGAGACCCGAAGCCCATTTGTAGGCCACTGGACATCCCCTTATAGAAGGGTCTCAGGGAGGAGATGAGCCAGTCAGGGTGCAGTGTAGCAACGATGAAACATACAGCTTTCCTCTAGTTCTTTAATGTTTCCTCCCCCCCACTATCATGATCCCAATTCTACCTTACAAATTCGACTAGACCAGAGAATGTATACCGGTACAGATAAGAGCTGGAAACACAGAGAATCCAGGACAGATGAACCCTTCAGGACCAGTGGTGAGAGTGACGATACTGGAAGGGTAGAGGGAGGGTGGGTTGGAAAGGGAGAACCGATTACAAGGGTCTACATGTGACCTCCTCCCTAGGGGACAGACAACAGAAAAGTGGGTGAAGGGAGACGTTGGACAGGGCAAGATATGACAAAATAATAATTTATAAGTTATCAAGGGTTCATGAGGGAGGGGGGAAGGAGGAGGGAGGGGAAAGAATGAGGAGCTGATGCCAGGGGCTTAGGTGGAGAGCAAATGTTCTGAGAATGATGAGGGCAATGAATGTACAAATGTGCTTTACACAATTGATGTGTGTATGGGTTGTGATAAGTTGTATGAGCCCCTAATAAAGTGATTTAAAGAAACAGAACAAACAAACTTTGAGGATAGGGAGCAGAGAGGTTCAAGGCTGTGCTGTCATCCAAAGGCTCTCCCAACAAGCATCTTGGAGGTTAAAAGATCCTGAAGGAAAAGATTTTTTTTTCAGGCTCAAAATGAAAAGGGGGCAGTGGGAATGAAAAGGAAATAACAGTTGTGAGGTAGAGGAGGAAGAGCACAGGGAAGCAGACCTTGTGGGACACAGAATCTGAAAAGGTCAGGATGCACCCGTTGTGGTCAAGGGGATTCTGACCCACAGCCACTCTTTAGGACAACAGCACTACCCTATAGAGGTTCCAAGACTGTAACTCTTTTACAGGAGCATGCTCACAAAATTCAGAAGATGGAAACAACCTAAAGGCCCATGAGTTGAATGGATAAAGAATCTCTGATATTTGCAGACTGGACTACTATGCTTCAATAATAAACAATGACAAAACCATGAAACACTGCATTACATGGACATTATGCTGAATGAAATTAATCAATCACAAAAAGACAAATATTAGACTATTGATCTAAAGGAAAAAAACAAGACAAAGCCTTTCATGCCAAAGGGAACAGACTTTGGAGATTGCCAAGAGTTGGTGAGGGTGGGGTGGGGGGTGGACGGTAGAGGGCAAGAGAGGGAAGATAAACCAACAGGTTAGAGTGCCAATGGACATTAACTGGGGTGAAATGGAAAATGGTAATTCCCCCCAAAAGAGAAAAGAAATCAAGGAGTACAAAGGGTAAACTACTGTGGGGTTTGATTAGTAGTTTAAACTATGGAATACAAAGTTGATGATGTGAAATGTAAATCCCCACCTAATTTTCAACTTAAAAAATTGTTAAAAATATCTCTGGGAGCAGACTGTCTTCCATGGGATTAGGTTGTAACAGGACTCAAATTCTGAGCCTGTGTAACTAGCACAATAAAGGTCAAAAAAAGAATTCAACTACTCTCTCTCAATATCCAAGCTCTATTTGAATATTTAAACAACCTGCAAGCATCTCTATCTCAAAACTACCGTTGAGACAGAACATTCATGTACAGGGATACCTCATTTTATTGTCCTTCACAGACAGTACTTCAAGCTAGGCTTCAGTGTCACATTTGTCACACTTTTTATAATACCACCGAATACTTAGATTACAGAATAAACACAACTTTTATGTGCACTGGAAAACCAACAAGTTGGAGCGGCTCATTTTTGTGTGTTAATTGCTTTATTGCAGTGGTCTGGTTGAGTAGCTGTAATAGATCCAGTGTCTGTCTGTCTCAAAATGGGTAACCAGATGTGAAACCGGAGGAAAGGATTGAATCTTGTCACATCTCAACAGGATCCAATCTCATGCTTATGTTTGTTTGTTTTATTCACTCCTTCACTCTAACCTCGTCACCCACTATATAGCCATATTGGCCCCTGCTACCGGCTCCTTGTTCCAGTCACCAGATCTCTGGCAGCTCTTCAATTAGTAATTAACCAATAAAAAAATTATTTTGCTAAATATGGTTTCCATCTGTTATGTGCCTTACTGAAATCATTTTTTTTAAGTCATTAAGTTCACTGAGATGACACATAAAAACAAAAACTCAAATCTCTTAGATAGAAAAAGTCAAAAGCAAAATCACTACTATTGGGTCAATTTTGACTCATAATGATTCTATAATGACAGGGTGGAACTGTCCCTGTGGGTTTTGGAGACTAACATTGGATTGGAGTAGAAAGCCTGTGGAGTGGCTGGTGGTTCTGAACTGCTGCCCTTGTAGTTAGCAACCCAACACAAATGTTACATCACTAGGGCTCCTTTTAGATATAAGCATATAAAAAAGTACCACTCTCTCGTGAGTTCACTGGAGCCACTGGGTGGTAGATGGTTAACATGCCCAGCTGCTATCCAAAAGGTTGGAGTTCACTCAGAGCACCTCGGAAGAAAGGCCTGGTGATCTACTATGGACAAATCGGCCTTGAAAATTCTATAGAACAGAACACAGTTCTATTCTGACATAGAAGACGTCACCATGAACAGTTGACTTGTTAATCGATTTTAGTGAATGCAGTTATGTTAAATAATTAAGTCACTGGTATTTTATTTCAAGTGATTTATTGTGATTTGGGGGAAAGTTTATAGCATGAGTGGTTTGATATTTGTATTTTGTTTTGTGACATGGACTGCAAGCCTTATCAGCCCATGTTTCTGTTTCCACTTGTCCTTCAGTTCTATCCCCTCTTCATGCCTTCCTGGGCAAACACTGCCTTTCTGATCTTGTATGGTTGACAGATAGCCTATCGTTCGGGCAGAAGTTGAACCACTGGGGTGAGTTCGATTCCAGGGAAGATGGGTATCTGAGGGTCAAACGTTTGGGGGTTTCGGATCAGTAAATTTGTTTTGAATTTTGTTGCACATTTTTCTCCTAAAAGTAGTTGGTATTTTAAATGTTTATATAAAGCAGAAATCTCTAAAATTTTAGCCTCCTTTGTATAGGCAGGTAAGAATATTTAGGGGCTATGGCTGGGGGTTTTGGATAGGGTAGAAAATCATTATTTTTTCCTATTTAAATTGATGAGTACTTTTATGGATTCCAGGTTTTAGTTCATGCATCAAACTACCTTCTCTTCTCCAAAGATTACAAGAAAATTCTGAGTTTGTTCCAAAATGAAACCTGAAACTGCTTTGTTTGGTAACAAGGGCTCCAGCAGAGGACCACTTGTCAGGCTTGTGCAGGAGCACCAGACAGTGCAGTGTGCTGTAGCTATGGGTCGGACAGACTCGATGGTACCAACCACCACCAGTTTGCTCTCTGTGACAGGATCAGACTTACCATCTTTCTATTACTCATTTTAGTAGAATGTATGAGTTTTCCTTCTCTGACAGGTTTCTGTTCTATACAGGGTCTAGCTTTTCTGTATTTTATGGTCTTACTAGATACATTTAAATATTTGATCTAGCTATAAATTTGAGGTAGATTCCATTTTTTCCCTGATGGCCTTCCAGTTATGCCGATAACAGATTCGGAACAGTCCACTTTCCTGCTTCATTGTTTTTGAAATGCTCCCTTTCCCACAGACTACTTTTATGTATTTCAGTTACTTTAGATTCATTTTATATTAATGATGGAATTTTGTATCTCTGTACCTGTACTATACTGTTTTAATACCTGCAAAGGCCAGTCCTATTCCATAACTTGTTTTCCACAGGTACTTTAGAATCAGCTGTTTCATCCCAATTGCTTTAGTTTGTTCCCTCCCCTAACCCTAAAATCTCGTTTCCATTTCTAATTAGAACTTGATTAAAAGCACAGTCTACCTTACACAGCTCTAATAATTTGCCGAATTTTCCTATTTGAAACGACAGCCTGCTTTTCCATTTCTTAAGTTCTTTTTGGTACCTTCTCTCACTGCCAAAGAGTCAATGTGAACTCATGGTAAGCCTGAAGGGCAGGGTAGATTGTAACTCTGTATGGGAGAAGGAAGCCTCATCTTTCTCCCAGTTTTGTCCCTTAGTGATGTTTTTCTCTTTCACACACACAGTTTTAGATCATTCTCATATATTTCAACTTTTTTCCTTGCTGTTATAAATGGAGTCTTTTCTTTCAGAATATCTTAGCTATAGTTCATATATCTAAATTTCTTTTCAGTAATTTTGTACCTAGGCACCCTTACCAAATTCTCTTGTCATAATTTTTCAGTTGACTCTTAGGTTCCTGTGTATATATTAATAGTTCTGCAAATGACAACTCTTTAACCAACTCCTTTCCAATTTTTATAACTTTTTCTTCTTTCTAATTTCTTTGGCCTATTCCTCCAAAATAATGTTAAATAACAAAGATGATTTTTGGAATATTTTATGGAATATTTCTATTATTTGTTAAACATGATGATAAGTCTTGATCAATATAGAATTTATTAAGGTAACTAATTAATAGATAAACACAAAACCACTGCCGTTGAGTTACTTCTACCTCAGATATCTGATGATCTCTAAGACTATAAATCTTTACAGGAGCAGATAGCCTCATTGCTCTCTCACGGAGCAGACGGTGGGTTTGAACTGCCAGCGTTGTGGTTGGCAAACCCAACAATTAACCCACAGTGCCAGTAGGGGCTCCTTTAAATTAACCATTACAAATGCTTTTTGGAGTTAATGAGATATCAAAATATTTCTGCATCTTGGATTATTTTGAAAACAGACTCAATCAATTGTTTAGGTAAAAGAATATTTATCAAAACATTATTATAACAGCAAAAACTTAGAAAAACCTGCTGCCTACAGGAATCAGTGGAATAAATTAAGGTGAATATAATGAGACTCATGACATTTGGAGTGTCATTACAAAGCATGCAAGTGAAAAAGTACTTAAAGTGTTACATTGTTAGTTATAAGACTATAAGTAGCACAATCTTACTTAAAAAAAAAAAATACATACGCTCAGAAGAAAAGACTATACACACTCCAGATGTTAACAGTGGGTTATCTCTACACGGAAAGAGTACACAGACAATTAACGTGTAATCTTTCTAAATTTCTTAAATGAACAGCTATTATCTTTGTAATAACAAAAGATATAATCTTAGAAGATCAATCATTAATTTGTCTTCACTATTTTAACAAGAGCAAAAATACTGTTTTGCCACATGCACGTCCAGGTATAAAATGTTACTACGTCATGTACAGGCCCCTCAGTGGAGAAGTTCTACGCTGCAACACTCGGGGTTGCTGTGAGTCACAATCGGCTAGACTGCAACCACCACCAGCGAGTACTTACTACACCACAGGAAAGTAATAAGTAGGATACACCAATCAACACCTCATGTCAAGTTGGTGCTACTGTTAGCATTAAAAAAATACTCTACATTAACATATTCACCAGAGCCTAAAACCAAACATTTTATTATTGATGTATAAGGGAAGACATAATCTTGACCACGGTGGTCACACAAGTTTATTGGTTAACATATACACACACAAATCAGTGCCTAAAAAACTGGTGGGAAAATAAAATCAAATAAAAAACTGGTGAAACCTGTTGTCAGTTTGACCCTACAGTTGTTCGAAAGAGCTGGTGCTCGAGGCAGACAATTCCGTGACACTGATAACATTCGAGCTGTGCATTCTCACCCTTCTTTGCGGAATTCTTTCCACGAACATAAACTCATTCCTCCCTGTTTCCTGCCTAACCTTTTGAGTTGCTGTTGATAAAACTGGTGTGATCTGAAAAAAGTTGGTAGCCAGTATCAATGTCAATTTTTGGATTGCAATACTGTACTACAGTTATACAAGCTGTTACCCCACCGGAGGAAATCGTATATCCAGTATCTCTATATTATGTCTTACAACTGCATGGTACTATACATTATTTAAAAATAAAAAGGTTTTCTTAAAAAAACAACAACGGATGCTATAATGACCATGTTCTGTTTAGCATATATGGTTGACCCTAGAATAACGTAGAAGGTGGGGATTTAAGGGTACTGTCGCCCTGGAACAGTAGAAAATCCACATATAATTTCTGACTTGCCAAAAACTTAACCACTATTGATCGGTCAACTTACTGATAACATGAACAGTAGATTTAACACATATTTGGTATGACCTATGTATTATATACTACATCGACAGAAAAACTGCAATTTCAATACAAAATAAAAAGCTATTTCAAAAACCATTTTCATGCATTTTCCTTTTGAATAACGGTCCTCACATTGATTCATTTCTCTTGAAATGGTAGACAAACACGGCTGCAGACCTCAATCTACAATACATATTAAGCAATTCAAGTCTTTCTTGTAATATCATGACTTTTCTGCTTCTTGAGAACATTTCCAGCATCACTAGGGGCATTTCAGAGTTCCATGATGTTATTCAACACTTATATTATACTAAACATGATACATGAGAATTTTGAGGTCATGTTTTACTGCTACATATAATTACTGCTCATGTACAGGTGATTAACATCACATAGCATTTTAAAGAAAATCCATGTTTAAGTGGACCCACAATGTTCAAACCTGTCTTGTTCAAGGGTCAACTGCACAGAGATAATATCCTGAGAACTCCCAAGATCTTAAAATTTGTTTTGAAGTGCTACACATGACTATAACAAATTGCTTTCAGAGATTCAGTAACAGTATGCTGTAGCTGCCACGTAAAAATTACCTTAATATTCTTCACTCCTTATTAATCGAGTAGCAAATATTAAGTTCCTGGCTATATCCAATAAGAGTCTAAAAACCACTGGCCATATTTATAGTTTTTCTATATACACCAGAAAGGAAAATATGGTTATGTCAAAATGAGATTTTATACAATTTGAAAAATCTGATTATTCTAACAAGTACTGACCAAAAAACTGTTCAATAACTATATATAGTGAAAACTGCGTATGATTCTGGTTTTGGTAAAACACAAAAATATATGCATAGAAAAATGGCTGGAATAAAATAACAAAATGTTAACAGTGTTTTTCTTTAAGTGATAGGAGATGATGATACAGTCTTTATGTATTTCAAAATTTCCCTAATTAGTCTATATTAATATTATAGTCAGAATACAAGTAATACAAAACAATCCACTTGAATCTATTAAGATTGTTAGAATGTAGCATTTCCTTTGCAGAAATATCTTAAGTATTAGAGATACTGTGCTAACGTATGAAGAAAAACTTACACTAGACTGGCTTCATTAAAGTCTGGCTGCAGATTCTCAAGAGGAAACAAAGACCTGAAATCAATTCCCATGTTGAAAAACACAGCTGCTATATCAGCTAATGATGGGATCCAGGGCCAAGCTGGTGAGTCACTGAAGATATCTAGTTAAAAGAGAAGAGATTTTAATCCAGGGTTGGAGCCCACACACTTGCAGTTTCAAAGTGATAATTGCATGTGAAACCTGAGCTATTAGAATGCTTTTCTAGAACTGACAGCTGCAAGCAATATACTAATAGTACAGTTAGGAATCATGCATTTCCACATAAAAGTGAAGGAAGTGACATTTATGAAGAAAACCCAAACTCACAGCCACAAGGTCAATTCTGATTCATAGTAACCCGGTAACACAGAGTAGAACTGCCCTTTGGAGTTTCTAAGACTTTACATACTTTCAGGAGCACATTGTCTCACCTTTCTCCAGAGGAGAGACTTGCAGGATCTGAACTGCTGACCTGTGGTTAGCAGTTCAACGCGTACTTAGCCCACTAGGCCACCAGGGCTCCATATGAGAAAACAGTACCGATGAAAGGATATAACTCAGAAGAAATAACAAAGTTTGCAACAACTGGGAATGACAATGTTAAAATCCCAGTTACCACTAACTCAGGAAGATTGTACCATCTTTGGGGCTTTCATATTCCCAGTCCTCAAAATAGGCAACCTGGTAATGCTTATTAAAAGAGCTCTCAAAGGTGAGAACCCAACTGGCACCCTCCTGTGGTGCATGCTTCATTCGCCTCAGCACATTGCCAGAGCAGGCCTCTTGCTAATGAGCCAATTAAAACTGATTAGCTTAATAGGTGAATAAAACTTGCAACTACTATTCACTTGCTCAGCAAAGTCAACCAGGACTTGGGCAAGTATTAAATAAGGGCTGCAACTTGCAAGATTTTAGGCCTTTTTTCTTAAAATTAGAAAAATATAGACAACTCTCCTTTACTGGAGTCTTATTTCATTATTAAAAACGTTCATGACAAAAACAAGGTCAATGTTTTCAAATATACTAAGACCATCAAGACCCCATGTAAACAACAGTAGATACTGTTAATCGCTTACCATTTCGAATTGTTATTTCCATCAATGTACTTAAAATCTGCACAGACACGATGCAGTCTGTATGAACCGACATCATCTGTCAAGAGTAAATCAGTGAAAGGGTGATAGAAGAAAGACAACAGGGACTATTTATTATTTGTCAGGTTCTGTGTTCATTTCATTTAGTACTTACAACTCTAGTTGATCATTACAGGAAATGAACAAATGGGCTCAGGAGATTCGATACCCTGTCCAACAGGGTCGATGAAGAGTTGGAATTTTAATCCAGATCTTATTCTGAAGTCAGGAATCTTGCCATTATAACATGCTGCTGATTTTTACAATTTTCATTTTTAATTAGACAAATACATTAATTGAAACAACTGAAAAATGCCTTTTGAGTATATAATGGGATAGAAACTCCAAAACCATAAAGCAAATGCTGCTAAGGTTTGTTCACAGTAACTCAAAACTCACTGCCACCAAGTGGGTGCAGATTCACAGAGACCTTATAGGACAAGGCTGAACTGAAATTGCAACTCTGTGGGAGTAGAAAGCCCCATCTTTCTCCCACGGAGTGGCTGGTAGTTCCAAACTGCTGACTCCCCAGTTAGTAGTGCAACATGTGGTAAAAGTATTTTTTAAAGTTCCAAATAGGCAAATTAACATGACAATAAACTTTCCAAAAAAAATTTTCAATTATCGATTCCAGATATGCCAATAAAAGAAGGGCAAGATCATTAGGTGACATCAAGATTGGCAAAGAACATTGATAATTAGAAATAGGTTGTCTTCAGCATCGCTAATATATGAGTTTAATGTGAAACCTTTTTAGTAACTTATGCAAACTTATTTACACTTATGCTTTGGTCTAATCAGCCTTTTTATAGAGCGAAATTTAGAGGTGGAACCAGGTAAGACAAATTTTGGGCAACAGAATCTTAAGAAAAAAAACTTAAAGTAATAAAACTGACATTAATTTTAAGGTAGTATTTATAAAGGGAAAAATATTGTTTCTTTATCTTGTGCTTGGGAGTCATAGCATGTAGGGGGTAAGAAACTACTTTCAATCAAAACGATAGCCTGTGTCATTAATGTGACAAACCCCGATGTATAAAATGTTTGCCTATTAAACTCTGCCACTAGGGGGCAGCACAAATCACAAATCTATTGAACACGACAAATTTTGACTAAATCATTTTGGGAAGTGAATCTTAAAAGACGTGCTGTAGCAACACAATAATCTGACATAAGTATGTGTGTGTATTACATAATAAGCATATAAGATAACTGAAGGCATATCAACTGGGACTGAGCTAAATATATCATGATAAAACTTGGTGCCATTAAGTCGATTCCACCCCAAACGACTGTCCTACATGACAAGAGTAGTGCCCCTGTGGGTTTCTGAGACTGTACCTCTTTATCTTGTAGGATGCTGGTGGTTTAGAACCGCTGATTGTGTGGTTAGCAGCTCAATGGATAACTCACTAAATCACCAGAAAAGAACTTAACAGTCCCCTGTTATCCAATATAAACAAGTTGGAAAATAGCATACATTCTGTTTATGTTAAATTATATAGCAATCTATGTACCCAAAGAGAGCCATCTAGAACAATGACCATAATATAACAGACCCTGAAATGTAATGACTTAAAAGGAGGTCTGTTTTCTTTTTTATAGTTCCTTTGCATTTTACTTGAACTTTTTTTTCACCATCAAACAAATTCCCTTTGGAAACAGAACAGGGAAAATAAACAAACAAGCTGCTTTCCTGGTTTACTACACTTAGACATTCGTGACAAAAATTTTAATTTTAATTACATTTTATCAGTTAAATTTGTTGTTAGGTATAGACTCAGATCTGACTCACAGTGACCAGATGTATAACAAAAACACTGTCCAGTCCTGTGCCATCTTCAGTCACTGCTGTGATTGGGCCCATTGCTGTAACCACTGTGTTTCATCATCTTGTTGAGACCTTTCTTTTTTTATTGGTCCCCTATACCCAACATCCTGTTCGTCTTCAGGGACTGTTCCCGCCTGATAAAATGCCCTAAGTATGTAAGGGAAGTTTTGCTATAACCTCCCTGTTAAGGAGCACTACTCTTAAGACATATTTACTCATTCTTGTGGCCATTCTTGGAATTCAATAATAACCAATACCATACTTCAAAGGCACTGATTCTGTATGCACTGTCCCACTTTCATATGCATGAGATGATTGAAAATACCACTAAGAAATTCCTTGAAATTGTACTTTAATGACCAGAGTAGAAACTTTTTTTTACTCCTCTGACTTCAAAATATAACAGCATTCTTTTTTAATTGCTAATACCATCGCTGTTATCATTTAAATGAGTATTATGCTACTTATAATTACAAAGGTATGTATGCTATAAAATCACAGAACAAAAATATCAAAATGTCAAGCTACTACCTCTTGACATGTTCTCCGTTTAGGTCTACACACTTCTGAAGGTGGTGCTTCCATCCCCTTAGCTCTTCCCTAAGGAATGCTGTGCTCTTCTTTTTTGTGTGTGTGTGTGCTCTTCTATTCACACGTCAAAATGGTAGTTTGGGCATTTTCAAGGGACTCAAATCACATTATTTTTCAATGTTGAGTTTGGGAGGGACACACACACCACCCCATCTGTGGGCAAGACCAGGACTCTAGGGTAGACGAGGTAAAGTTTCCCACCGAAATTCTCATAGGGACAACCCTTGCTACCCTTGAAAAATCAGCACGTGTGTTGCTGTGATGAAAAAATTCCTCATTGCAACTTTCATGGCCTTTTGCTCACCAATAGTCTCCAACTTCCTTCATGATATGGCCCTGTGACCATCCCGTGTCCTTTGAGAAAAATCTATCGACAATCTTTTTAAGCTCCCTAGTCTCTATAATCTTCTGAGTTAACCTCTCTGCCTGGATTTAAACTTGGCCAGCACATCCCCTCAGATACCACTGTTCTGATTGGGCCTTTTTCTGAAGGCATCCTAACAAGACTACGACAAGTTTATGACTGAGAGAACTTGTATGCAGCCAGCCACTAATCACTCAGACTTGTTTAAACAAATTTTGTTTGGGGAAAACGCCCCAAAGCAGCAGTATTTTCTGACTTATGAGTAGGAAATGCAGCAGGGGTCAATGATAACCCACCCCCGGCCCCCAACATCTCTCTTACCCGAAATAGCCACTTTAATACAGATATAGGGCACTGGACATTGTGATAAGCAGAAGTCAGGAAGCCTTGTGTTGTCAAAAAAATCTGATCTCTTTTTCCAGATCTGCAAAATACAGTGAGATCAACAGGACTGTTATCTTTAAGAAAACAAAACACTTCTACTACCGTATGTGACAACATCCGAGAGATAAGCAAGTGTATCATTCTCAGACTATGGAGATGGACAGGGCTATAATGTGGATGGCCACTCTCAGCCTCAATCTGATTCAGTCTGTTGGATTGGCTTCAGACTTATATGGTGGGAAAATCTATTTATTGGGAAGGCATCTTCTGTTCTTTGTCAACCTGGGGACAATGTATTTCTTTAAAACTCATGGCACCAGAAACAATGGGAAATTACACACAGAGGGGGATTAAATCAGCTCAGGCACTGTGGCAGAGATTGCTGCCTATACTAAACAGCTATTCTTGCCTGCCTTCTGGGTAACAGAACTAACTTAGGCAGGCATATTGGGTGCCTGGAATAAAAGCACTTCCTAGCCTCCTTTGGCGTTGTGAGTAAACTGCCACGTAGAAACGTTGCCTGGGATTTCTGGGGATCTGAAGGCAAAAGCCCTGCCATCCCTGTGTTGGGGATGATGGAACAGAAACATATGGTGACACCCACACACCAGTCCTGAACTTCCATAGAACTTCCTTCACACCAGAAGGAAATACAGCTTTTCCTTAAATCACAGTGTCATTACATGTATCAATCTTCATCTTAACTAAGAAAAGCATGTGGTATATTAATGTACCTTATGCTGCTTCCTATAATTTTATAGGAGAACACAGAGAATAATTATAATAAAAGGAATAGGAAACTGGATGGGTCATAAAGGAATTAGCCTTTTAGAAGTTATATCAGCTATATGTTTTTTAAGTTTTTGATACAAAAAGGTAAAATGTCTATTTTCCTACTTACTTAAGAATAAGTCTTTCGACAGCAGTTTGGCCGATAAAACCAGAGTCTCTTAAATCCAGCGTATGTTGATTAAAAATTTTTCCAGAATTGAGGAAATTAAATATTTCTTCGCCTGGATGATGATCAGGAATAGCATCGATTGTAACTGAAAATTTTTTTAAAAACTCCCTGAAATTAAAAAAAAAAAGGGGGGGGGGGGAGAAGCATCGATGACCAAATAGTTATACTGCACATTGTTTTATAATTGAAAAATGATTTTTCTTAAATATTACTTTGTGGTTTTGATGAAAGTGCAGCCAGTAAGTTAGGTTCCCCCTTGACAATCTCCAAATGATCGCTGACATTAGCTACCTTGTTCACATCCTATCAACATCCTCCTTAAATGAGTTCTGGTTGTTCCCCTTTCAGTAAGCTAGTTTCCCTGCCCTCTTATCTTTTCATCTTTGCCTTAAATAGTGACCTGTTCAACTAGCAGAGATCTATTTCTGAAGAAAGCGCCGATCTTGTGGGGTAACATCCTTTACTCTATGGATCACTCTACTTTTCCGTTGAGGTGATTCTCAGGGAACAGTTTTGGTTCCAAGTGTGTCTCAAGCCATTAGTTTTCGTCTCTGCTCCCAGATAATCATCAGTCTAGTCATTTTTTAGAATCTGAGAATAAGTATATATATTTTAAACTGCCATTGCGTTGACTCTGATCCAAGAACCCCATGTATGTCAGAGTTGAACTGTGCTCCACTGGGGTTTTGTTTTATTTATTAAACGGATTTTCCATTCGATAATTCATTCTTTTGTTTTGTGACACTGACTGCAATCCACACAACATAGCAACACTCTTTCCACTTCTTCCCTGTGTTTATAGTTTCCATTCATCCTTTTGTCCCTTTCCTTCCGGTTTGCTGATCTTTATTCTTCCTTTAAATCTTATTAACTATGCCTATTGTTAGGCTTGCAGAATGGCTAAGGGCCATAGTCTATGAGGCTCCACCAGTTTCTAGCAGACCAGTAATCTTGGTCTTTATGACTTTTCTCCCCCCAGATACAGGACCTCCTGTTGTGATCCATTTAGAATGACCCGCAGTGATAAGCAGGTACCAGCTAGTTCTTCCTGGTCTCAGGGTGGTGGAACCTGAGGTCACATGGTCCAATAGTACTTTGGACTAATTGTTTCCATGCATCTTTGACTCTTTTTTTACTTTACTTCAGACCTTTAGATGGCTATTCCCAGTCACCACTCATCAAAGAACACTGTCTTTGTGGATTGTGTTATACCAATTGACCTCAGTGTCCCCAAGTGTAAGTTCTGAGCCCCCAGGACCAGTCACGCATTTCCTCGAGGTGCTTGGTTACGGCTGAAGAGGTTTGAGAACTTTGTTCTCTACATGCTTACTCTATCTATGGCTCTCCCTGCAGCACATATATAGATGTAGAAATGTTGTGAAGAACAACTTGTTTAAAAAGGCCAAAGTAATCACAAATTAGTAGACTAAAAACAAAAACTCAACTGTCATGGAGTGAATTTCGACTCATATTGACCCCATGAAGACTGGCATGAAAAAAGGCATTTCTCTCAGTTTTTGCTACTAGTTAATCCAAAAGCCACTGCTTGTGAGAACAGCAGCAACCAAGAGAAAAGACCAAGGACGTAACTGCCTTAACATCTTGCCTTTCTAATCTGTCCAGAGATGGATGGCTAAGATTTATCATATATTACTCACTATGAGTAAAATAACCATTAATGTCCATGTATTTGACAAAACAGCATTAAAAAACTGTAGACACTTAGCAGGATAAACATCGTTAAAACAACCACCTACCTGTGCTCTTCCAGGAGGCCGTCCTCATCGTCTGTACTGTCGTCATCTCCGAGTCTGAGAGGGGACTTAATGCCTCGGCCCTGTCTTATGTCCTCCTGGAGTTGCTTCTGCAGCTCATCTAGCCTGCATATTCAAACAACGCGGGTCAATGCAGCTCACCTTACAAACAGCTCGTCTAGAAGCAGCTCATCATGACTCATATCCGTACATAGGGTCTTTCTCATTAAGAAATACGTAACTTATTTTAGTTCTTCAACATCTACTCAGTGATCAGTCATGTGCCACTGCATAAAATATTTTGAGTATTTCTTTATAGCCTGAATGTCCAGAATTATCTAATTCACTTAGCGAGCTGGGATAGGAAAGTAAAAAAGCAAAGAAAACAACACTCATTTGATTATCTCTTCTAAATTTTGAAGCTCCTTTAATTCCAGAAGTCCAACAACACAGTAAATTAAGCAGACTTTCCAGCAGCAACTACTGTCATCACCGTTACCATCACCTCACAAACAACACCTACAGAAGCCTTACTTTGTTGACAGGTACTGTAAGGACTTTTTATTATGCACTCTTTGAACCTTCAGAGCAAATCCAGGCAGTTTATCATTATCCCATTTTACAGATGAAGATTCAAAGACAGTCTAGCTCCAGAGTCTTTGGCATCGCTTGCCTATTACAGCTTCCTCAGGATTTTAAAATCAAGGTTTTCATGCTCAGTTCTAAATCCATGCTCCCAGCCGCTCCAAGAACAAATAAACCCACGCCCTCATGTCTAAGTCACCTGAGTATGACCGAACCCACTGCCATTGAATTGATCCTGATTTATAGTAATCTGAGTGTAGTACAACATATTAAATAAGCAGGGGAGCAGGGAGGGGAAAATATGAGGAGCGGATGCCAGAGGCTTAGGTGGAGAGCAAATGTTTTGAGAATGAGGGCAATGAATGTACAAATGTGCTAGACACAATGGAAGTATGTATGGATTGTGATAAGAGTTGTATGAGCCCCTAATAAAATGATTAAAAAAAACAAAAAAGAAAAAAAAATTTTTTAAATTAAATAAGCAATTAATATTAACCAATAATCCATACAGGAAAGAATCAATGACTAAATCAAACTAGCACTTCAATGTGTGGTCTGTGGAATATTCAGTTTTCATATCACGGATCAATAAATTGATGAAATGTGAAGATAATTTTATAATGATCTTAAATTATTCAACCTACTGATTAATTCTCTGCCAAATCCTTAGAGTTGGTTATAAGTTTGGAACACACCTATACCAACTTCCATGCACTGCAACCTGCTGAGCTCTGAGAGAAGTTCTCAGACTAGTTTCAAGGCCCTTCTCACCAGCAAGAGCAGTCTCTGAGGAACCACAACATTTCACTAGGGTCAGTATCGAGCCTCAAACTTTCTAATCTGTGTGTGTGTGCAGAGGGTGGGGGAAGGGAGGCAATGAGAGCTATAATTCTTATTACTTTTTTCTTTAAGAGCAGTCTGGTAGAGAAATAGTATGTCTGGGATAAAATGACTCAGCAAAACTCCAAATATTAAAACAAAATTATTTGGATAAAGATGTTTGGTTATCAATTAAATTGGTTTTTCCTCAGAGTGTGCAATACCACCCCTACTCCTGGGGGGTAGGGCAACTCTGAATGATCCAGGGGGCTGCAAAAGCAGATAGAATCCCACATTTTATCATGGATATGCGCTATTGTATAGCTTTTTGATTACCAGGGGGCTGGGAAGGGGGGTAATTTTTTTTCTCTCTCCTGAAATGGGAAATAATTTGAGAAATGGTAGGTCAAATAGTTTGGGAACCTATGAATTAGACACTAGTTGGTGATAAACAGAAAGGAATTTATAGTATCAATTAATATATATCATAGAAACCTGGATCTTCTGATCTAGTTGTATGAGCCAAAAAAGAACACCTCATTCCTAACAAAGCTGGCAGCAGCTGGACATCTTTAAGTGTAGGAACAGAAGGCGCATCCTTCTTTCTCATGACTTATTACAGTAAGTTAAGGGTGCTCCACAGAGAAAAAACTCCAAGGGTCATGGGCTGATAGGGCAGCTGAAAACTTGCTGTCAAAGCTCAATCTGGGACAAAGGAGACTTGGCACAAACATCATGGTGAAGGTAAGGCGCCTGATGCCAACTAACCTCTGAGTGTCTTCCATCTCCTTCACCAGACGCTCTAAAGTATTTGAGTAAGTTCCACTGGGACCACGTTCCTAAAACAAAAACAGTTAGAAATACTTCATAATGTATCTCAGCCGAAGAATTGGGATGCTTTAGGTTATTCAGAGAACTAGATTGTTTTCTATTTTAACCACCTGAGCCAGGCTACCTCTCTTACAGGATAAATTTCACCATCATGCTTTAATTAAATCTAGCGTTTTATTCCGCAGGCAATTCCATTTTGCCATCTCTTAGGAAAGGCACTATTTATGAAATCCTGCTAGGCTTAGTTAGGAGGGACTGATCGCAGATACCCAAGGGCTCAGTGACTACCCTGTATTTACTTTCAAATTCTATTTTAGTGGAATACTTAATTTTTAGCTGTTATCATGGAACATTATCACCTTCCCCACCAACTTTTACAGGCATCTTAGAATCTAATTCAGCCAATTCCCAAGATAGAATGAAACCCTTAAAATAAAACTGCACACCACAATTAACAACATTTCTACACTCTACCTTCATTTACAGCAGTGGTCTCCAAAGCAGGGGGTGTGCAAGGTGATCCATTGGGGTGCAGGAAGAAAATAATAGAACTTCTATTTATATGGAACGTCTATAGAAACTCCAGCAGAACTTAGCCTATAGTAACTGCTACATAACTTCTATAGGAAAATACTATTTTCCTCTTCCTTTTAAATTGTTTCTGTATGTTTTAGAAAGTATACAATAGTATAGTGCTACATGTATATTATCTACAAATATGCATATATATTGGAGAACATGCTCAAAAAAATTTAAAACTAATAGAAGTGTATGTGATCAAAAAAGTTTGGAGACCACTGATTTACAGTAATGAATCTAATGATATTGGAAACTATACCAGTTTCAGTCCAGTTATGCATCTTATCAAATACTAAATTTTAAGCGAAGTTCTAATCGTCTATTCTTTCATGAATCAACCCATCTTTCCCTCTTCAAGTACAGATAAACGGCATGGAACTACTTACTGTATAATCTGATGACTGAGCTCTAAGCCCCTTGGGAAAAGCAGGAGGCTTTCCTGTGGTTGTAGGAGTCTGACAGAAGTTCGCAGCCATTATTTCTTCCAGTGATTTTAATGTCTCCTCTTCCTCATCACTGTCTAGGTTGTAACCTAAACTTTCTTCATCACTATCAAAACCACCCCTTAGTTTTCTTTTCAGTGCACTGCTACCTGCATTAGAATTTCCTGAACTCTCTTTATCTGAAGGAGCAGTAGAACGTGGGACACATGGCACAACTTCCAAAGTAGCTGGAGGAGACTTGGCAGGAGTGCCATATTCTGAACGCAAAGATTCCCCAGACACTTTCCCTGAAGCGTTATTAGAATCAGCCTTATGAGTCTTTGTTTTGTGTTCCTTGTGTTTGGAGGACTCTGCAGAATGGCCAGAACATTCTCTAGATGAGGAACGCTCTTTATCTTTTTTAGACACCGGAAGAGTGCAATTTTTAGCATTTAATGGTACCCGAGAGGAACCAGCACTTGGAACATGGGAAAGTAAAGGTAGAGGGTTTGTCTCCTTTGATGTCACAGAGCCAGCAGTTTTATTCTTCTGAAGATTGCTAGCTTTCTTAACTGTAGATTTTTCCTGAGGTAAAGGTAAATGGGGTTTCAGCATCTTAGTCTCTTTGGTACTTGCCACATGAAGCTGGTCACTGATCTTGGAAGAATGGCGGCTAGAATTTGAAGGTGCTAAGCGCTCCAAGGAGCCATCAGCTTCAATGCTCGGTTTGTTGGAGGGCATTTCTTCTAAGCGCAAGACTTCACCAGGGATCTTTAGTGCAATGTGTTTCACAAATTCTTCTTTCCGAGGTGGCCCATTGGGACGCTTCTCTGGGAAGGCCTCCTTTGTTCTCGGTATTACAGATTCCCTGGTGCTTTTCAGATCTGAGTTCACAGAGCTCCTTTTTCTTTTGTCAGGTAACTTATTCTTAGAGCCTGCTAAAATTTAATTTGTGCTTGATTAGTGAAAAGTATCCTTGCTTATCTTAGTAAAGGCTATTCAATGAGTTTCTAGAACACCCTGAAGAAGTGTTTATACTCTATAAACAGTTAGGCAAAGATTATTTACTACTTACGGAATGGGGGAAAAAGTGAGCATTATATAGAATTATACAATATTGGACAATATCAGTGTCAAAAATTATGGAGTTGCACCTAAGAAAGAAATCCCAAGGTACCTGCTCTCAAAGTGGACATACTACTCTGCTTTTGAGCCCAACAACTACCTACGTTCAGAAATTTAACACTTCAACGCTACGTTTAAAGCTCCTTAAAAGATATGTAGAATAACTAGTAAAGATACTCAAATGTCAATTCCCCACCCCCAAATTGACCCAAGTCTCACCTCCTAGTGTTTAATTACTATCCACCCCCCATATCTCTCTAGTTGTCCACATTAGGTGCCCCAAACCTTAGCAATTTAATAACCACATACATTTAAGTTAGCCAAGTAATATCTTCCCCCTATAGTGCTCAAAGAAGAAATGCTTCATTACTTCACTCTTACTTTTCACTACTCATTAGAAATTCATTAACCTAGACTCAGTATCTCAAAACCAAATTCCCCTTTATCAAGTTTCTTTCTTCACATGGACAGATGTCCCCACTTCACAACAGTTTGACTAAAAAATAAACTGAGTCCAGGATTAAGCAACTGCTATTTGGATAGCTTGACTAATTCACAATCTGGAAAATTCCATTTATAACAATGAAAACTTGACCAAGCAATCTGTAAACAATCAATTGCCCTTATACAGATGTTTCCATTACTTCAAGAAACCATTCCATGCCCACTCGGCTTTCAGTGGGTAAGTGACTGGGGCCACTACAGTGCAAGAAGAGAAAGCAAGTAACTCAGAAAAAGAAAACAACGTAGGTAGAACTACACTGATTATTTCCATTTTAAGTTTGGGGGTTAAAGAGAAGACAACTATGGAACAGCCAATTTGATGTTTTGTTTCATTTTCCTATAAGAGTCAGATAATTTACATACACCTAGTAATGAGGAGAAATCCTACTTTGTTCAGGAACTGAAGAGTCCTGGAAGGAAGATACACTGTGGGCAACAGTTAGGGCGAATCAGCTTATTAAGAGTGTTTAGTGTCTGCCCCTAAAGAAAGGTGAACTGGCACTACAGTTAAGCTCCCGGTTTGCAACCTGTCTGAGGCAGTGAATTAACTTAAATTTTTTCATGATTCTTTTTTTTAAAAAAAATCATTTTATTAGGGGCTCTTACACCTCTCATAACATTCCATATATCAATTGTATCAAGCATATTTGCACATGTTGCCATCATAATTTTTTAAACATTTACTTTCTATTTGAGCCCTTGGGACTATAACAATTTTTTTTGTTTTAATCATTTTATTGGGGGCTTGTACAACTCCTATCACAATCCTACACACATCCATGTGTCAAGCAGATTTGTACCTATCATCATTCTCAAAACATTTTCTTTCTACTTGAGCCTTTAGTATCAGCTCCTCATTCCTTCCCCTCCCTTCCCACCCCCCTCCCTTCAGGAACCCTTGATAATTAAAAAATTATTATTTTGTCATGTCTTACACTGTCCAACGTCTCCCTTCACCCACTTTTCTGTTGTCCGTCCCCCAGGGAGGGGCTTATATGTAGATCCTTGTAATCAGTTTCCCCTTTCTACACCACCTTTACTCCACCCTTCCGGTATCACCACTGGTCCTGAGGGTTCACCTGCACTGGATTCCCTGTGTTTCCAGTTCCTATCTGTATCAGTGTACATCCTCTGGTCTAGTCAGATTTGTAAGGTAGAACTGGGGTCATGATAGTGGGGGAGAGGGGGAAGGATGCATTTAAGAACTAGAAGAAGGGGAAAAAAAAGAACTAGAGGTAAGTTGTATGTTTCATTGTTGCTATACTCCACCCTGACTGGCTTATGACTCTCCATGACCCTTCTGTAAGGGGATGTCCAGTTGCCTACAGATGGGCTTTGGGTCCCCACTCCGTACTCCCCCTCATTCACAATGATATGATTTTCTGTTCTTTGATGCTTCATACCTGATCCCATCAACACCTCGTGATCACTCAGGCTGGTGTGCTTCTTCCATGTGGGCTTTGTTGCTTCTGAGCTAGATGGCCGCTTGTTTATCTTCATGATTCCTTTTATACTACTCCCTTACAGCCTTAGAAGGGGGCCCTGGCAGAGCAAGTTACGTGGATTTAAAACCACTAGCTGCTCCATGAAACAAAGACATGGCAATCTGTTTTCGTAATATTTCAGAGCTTTGGAAACCCTATAAGGCAGTTCTACTTTGTCCTATAGTGCTACTAGGGGTTAGAACCAATAGGGATTTAAAAATATCTACCAATATGGTCCAGTGGTAGTATCCTTGCTTTCCATGCGGGAGACCTGGGTTTGAGCCCCAGCTTGCACTCATGCACAGCCATCACTGCTTGGCGGTGGCGGTTTGTGGACTGTTATGATGCAGAACAGGTTTCAGTGAACCTTCCAGACTAAGAGCCTAGGAAGAAAGACCTGGCAATTTTACTTTTGAAAAGTAGCTAATGAAAACCATGAGTCAAAAAAAAGAGAAAAGAAAACCATATGAGTCACAATAGTCGAAATCCTCAACCAATCATGGGATGTGTAGGATGTGGGGGTTGCCATGAGTAGGAGTCAGAACATGAATGTATAAAACACTCAAGTAAGAGTGGGATCAAGTTTGTAAGGGCAAAAAGGGGAAAAATGTAAATGTCTGCTATTGGTTATTAATAACTGGTTTTGGCCAAATGTGAAGGAGGGAATAGTATCAGAGCTTAAACGGTGAATACCCAATTTGCAGAAGGCGATGAATGACAGTGGAAGCCCAAAATCCATTTGCAGGGTCCCCACGTGGATTAAGTCTTCAGTGAATTCCCTGATCATAGCCCAGGGATATGAATAGCCTTGCTACAGAGTATTGGAAAGTCAATTATGGCAGATGTAGTTAGGTTAAAAGCTACCATATATATAGCGTATAAACCGACCCAAATATCAGCCGAGGCACCTAATATTACCATAAAAACTCCATTAAAAAATGTGCTGAGTGGTGAAGAAAGTTGATGGTGTCCGGCTATCAAAAGATATAACATATGGGGTCTTAAAGGCTTTAAGATAAACAAGCGGCCATCTAGCTCAGCAACAAAGCCCACATGGAAGAAGCACACCAGCCTGTGTGATCACGAGGTGTCGATGGGATCAGGTATCAGGCATCAAAGAACAGAAAATCATATCATTGTGAATGAGGGGGAGTGCAGAGTGGGGACCCAAAGCCCATCTGTAGGCAACTGGACATCCCCTTACAGAAGGATTATGGGGAGGAGACAAGCCAGTCGGGGTGCAGTGTAGCAACGATGAAACATACAGCTTTCCTTTGGTTCTCTAATGCTTCCCACTATCATGATCCCAATTCTACCTTACAAATCCAACTAGACCAGAGGATGTACACTGGTGCAGATAGGAACTAGAAACACAAAGAATCCAGGACAGATGAACCCCTCAGGACCAGTGGTGAGAGTAGTGATACTGGAGGGTGGAGGGAAGGTGGTGTAGAAAGAGGGAACCGATTACAAGGATCTACATATACGCCCCTCCCTAGAGGACAGACAACAGGAAAGTGGGTGAAGGGAGACGTCACACAGTATAAGACATGATAAAATAATAATTTATGAATTATGGAGGGTTCTTGAAGGAGGGGAGAGCGGGGAGGGAGGGGAAAAATGAGGAGCTGATACTAAGGGCTCAAGTAGAAAGAAAATGTTTTGAGAATGATGATGGCAACGAATGTGCTTGACACAATGGATGTATGTATGGATTGTGATAAGAGTTGTACGAGTCCCCAATAAAATGATTTTTTTTAATGTGCTGAAAAACTCAGCATATACTTGAGCACATATGGTAATACTTTATCATGTGATCTCCCCTTTGACCTATTTTAAAGTTGTTTCCGTTTTTCATATTTTCTGCTTTCCCTTGAGGGTTCTTCTGTTTTGTCTAGTTACTGTTGTTTTTGTTTATCTGCTTATAGTTTATATGATTTTCTGTATGTAAAATCCAGGACAGGTAGATCTATGGAGACAGTATCTGGATAGGGGCGTGACAGGGAAGGATGAGGGGAAATGGAGAGCTAACAACAATGAGTATGAGACAAAAATTTTATCTGAAATGGACTATGGTAAAGATTTCCCAAATCTTAATGTGACTGAATGATTAGAATATATGACATGGGAAGTATATGCCAATAAAACTATTTTTAAAAATTGGTTTTGAGATTGGTTATTCATGAAATATGGAATCGAATCTCCCTGGGATAGCTTACATTTGACTTCAAAATTCAAAGGTCAGGGATTGTGGAAGACCAAAGAACCAAAATCCTACCCTACCAACTTTTCTGAAAACCAAAGCTTATGTGAGCATGTATATCACCTGATCAATATGAAAGTGGTAATATGTCTCACAAATCTCCTGCCTCTGAAGACACTCAAGAAGAACTTCTTAAAAGCAGTGCTCAAAAAATTCACAACATAGGACTACATACACAACACTATTTCGGTCACCACTAATAAAACCTGTAAATCCAGGTACTGAAGAATTCTTGTCATCTCATCAGAGAAAAAGAAAGCTGAAAAACATGGTGGCAATATGACCACCAGCAGTTCCTTAAGCTGACAGAGCACATTAAAAATATTTGCTTCTCCATTCACCTAGTGCAAATATTTAGTACCACAAATGTACAGTATAAGTGTTGGAATAATCAAGGGAGTTATGAATCAATTTAAGGAAAAACTCAAGTGAACTAAATATGATAGTTTAACTACAAAGTGATTTTATTATAATATAAAAATTCACCAAAATGTAACCACTAAAATGACTAACAATTGAAAAAGAAAAAAAAGCCACATACAACTTCAGATTTATGCTTGTAAGTTACTTCTACAGTGATAAAAGGGAGATTCAAAAGGCATATAGAAAAATGGAATTAAAAGAAAGGGGGGTTTTCCCACATTTTGAAGTCCCTCATATGGTTTCTCCCTTGCCTATGATTTTTTTTTTAAATGATTGAGTTTTAACACTCAAGGGACTTGGTCAAAATGTAATAGCCCTCTAGAATATACCAGAATATGGAGTATTAAGCACATTTAAAGAACGTCAGAACTTTGCCTCTTTACAATCTTGGTTTTCTCCTCATCTGCAATAATAACCTCTTTACAAGGGTGTGGTGAGGTTGGAATGACAAGTGTACACAAGAACGGGCACTGGATATAGTAAGTGCTCAATAAATGTTAGCTATTATTATCAGGTGCAAGGAATCTTGCTGAAGGGAGAAATTTGTAGTAAAGTCTGTCTAAAACACAGACTAGTTATAGCAGGGGGGAAAAAAAAGCTGACATACCAAAACTATTAACAGTTACTCTGGAAGCATTTCATTTTCTCTAAGTTCACAGTGTTTGAATTTTATAATGTCCTAATTTCTAACAAGATGAGATACTTAGAAATTTATTAACAGTAGCTGCTTTGTTATATGTTTTTTTCAACCAACAGATACTAAAGGTACAAGTTAGTCATCATGGAGAGGTCCTTGAAAGACAGTATTAACAAGGACTCTTTTGAGAGTATCGGGAAACACTGCTATGGACCATCCTAACAGTTTCAACCCTATGCACAGCATCTTCAGCATATTAGCAAGACCTCAGATAGGAAGTCACAATTCCAAGCATAAAAAAATCATGTTTTGGAATCACGAAGGATTCAAAAATAGAACACTTAATGCCAAGATGAGAAACACATTGTTAGAAAGTTTTGAAGGGAGAGAAGGGTCAAGACCAACTAAGGGCTAGACATACTAAAGTCAAGAGCTGTTCTCCTTGAATATATTTTTACCAATGTTCTTAGCTAATCTGAGGCAACTCCATTTCTAAGAAGGGAGCTGTGTATTTAAATAAACTGAGTTTAAAAAGTGTCATTAAGGGGTGAATTTTTTTAGAGTTGGAGGTGTATATTTAATATTTTGATTCTACCTGAAGCAGGTTCCCAAGACTCAGAAGAGGATCTTTTTCTTGAAAGATGTGCATTTTCCTATTAACAAATTGAGAAATATTATATTAGGAGCTGGAGCTGAAAAGAACAGATTTTTCTTCATGACACTTAAACATGAATTTCTAGATTAAAGAAAGCAAGCACTTAGATGTGAAGGCAAATTCCAACCTGCATAACAAAATATTTAGAGGTACTAAGTTTTAGTATAAAAATGAAGAGCATTTTGCCATTAATGGAAAAATGTTCTAAAGCAGCTTTCACAATACTAATTTAGAAATTTGTATTAATAACCCAAGATTAATATCACATTAGAACACAGTATTGTGATGAAGCATTAACCCAGGAAGAACAAGCTTATTATTTGCCAATCAGATGAACTAAACTCATTCAAATGTTTAAATACTGATGCATCACAAAAATACGGAAATCTTATAAAAGTGGAACCAAATGTGGCTAACCTCTATTAGCAACCCCCGCTGGGAAGAGCCTCAGATTCCTTCCAAAAGAGCCCAAGGATTTACAAATATATTTTCCAGCAATATACAACCAGGAGTACCAATTGCTCTTAGAATTTCAGAGTTGGATTTATTTTTGGCCTATCTGGCTTTAAAATTTCAGTATTTTATCAACAGAGTACTTTCTTGGTATTGATCTCTCAGTCCTATTTATCTGAGTAACTCTTTGAAAAGGGTATACTTAACGACTTGACTGTTCATGGGGAGGACAGTTTTTATACTCATTTAATATAAATGTGGTCCATTCCAAAAGGAAGGTGGCTTGGTGGTGTAGTGGGTACATACAAGGTCCGAGGTTAGAACTCACCAGCTGAGCAGAGGGAGAAAGATGAGACTGTCTACTCCCATAAAGATATAAAGTCTCGGAAACCCAAAAGGGCAGCTCTATCCTGTCTTAAAGGGTGACCTTGAGTAGGAATTGACTCAATGGCAGTGAATTTGACTTTTTTTTAATTCTGAAAAGAAAAATCCGATTAAATTAATATTTGAAATATTGTCATCTAAGTTTCCTAAGATCCATATTCACTTATCTGTGTATATACTCTAAACTGCTGGTTCTCTAACTTTTAAGTGTACCAGAACAATATGAAGGACTTGTTAATCACAGATGGCTATACTCTCACCATGCTACCCAGTACCCACTTCCCTCAACCCATTTCTGCTTTAACAGAACTTGAGAATTTATCTCTCTTAAAGTTTCCAGCTGATGCTATTGGTCGAGATGACATTTTGAGAACCACTGTTCTAAACCAGTTCCTGTTGTTTTAGGTTTCCAGCCCTCGAGTGTCCTCCTTCAGCAAAACCTAATTTTTGGAAGTATATACTTGCTTAAAAAAATAATAATAATCCTTATCCTGATTAAGAAAGGACTTTTTCCCTGTCTGAAAATTTAAGCGAACAGCGTTCATGAATTCAGCGAAGGATAGTTGGGGGAAATTGAATGAAAGGTGTTTCTGCAAATAAAGATAGATACCAATGTGATGTAAAAATTACTATTTTCTTTGGCTTAGTATTCTAAAGATGATATAAAACCTAAAACAAAATCCATTGCTATCAAGTCAATTCTGACCCTTGGGACACTAGGATCCCAAGGCTGTAGTACTTAGATGAGCAGACTGCCACATTTCCCTCCTGTTCTGGTGGGTAAGCACTTAACCCCCATGCCACTGGTACTCCTCAATATGATCTGGTCATAACCAAAATTAATTCAGTAAGCACTGTGTACTTACCAGGGTTGAAAGATTACTTTTTCCAGGTATGACATTGTTCTGCTTGCTTTGTTCCTGCGTTGCTTTAGAATGTCTTCCAATACTAGAAGAGTTTAAGGAAAGGTTGCTTGTTTCGGAGAAGGAATTTTCTGAGTTGATTCTCTGCTTGATTTTTTCCTTTCTCATCTTCCTTAGTTCCCTTTCTCTGCGATAAGAAGCCAGTGATGACTGAAACTTGGCTCCAAGTGGGCTTTCTCCTGAGTGATGCCTAGATAGGCTACTCCTGCTTAGACTTCGAGAGTTGTTCTTGAAGATTTCGGCTTCTGCCCCAGGAGCTTGCGGTTTGCCACTGGTACTGGTTTTGTCTTGATCTTTATCACCTTCCTTCCTGTTATTTTCAAGCATGAGCGTTGACTTCCGTCTCTCTGGAGAACGATGTTTCTTCTTCCGGGCTTTCTCTTTGGACAAGTGATAGGAAGGAGCATAGACTTTGGTAACCCCTTTTGAAAATGTGGTGTCCAGTGACACACAAGGCAGACGTGACTCATGTACGCTATGATCTTTATGTTGCTCTTTCACATCTTTCATGAAAGCTTTTAAAATAGGGCTCTTGTCTGAGGGAAGCCTTCTGGGTTTTGATTTTTTTGGTGAGGATAGCTTCCTTTCAAACTGCTCTGTCCCTGCAAAGGACAATCCACTTCTTCCATATTTGATGTTTGACTTTTGTGGAGAATCCAACATAGGTCTGTCTAAAATGCCAATTAAAAAAACAAAAACAAAAACCCCACAGAAACTATATTATTAGAAATAGCAAAATGTTAAATGATACAAAAGTTACTACAGAAATGTTCAGATTATACCTGGATGGTGATGTAAGTTTTACTAGGGGAAATTACTTTTAGAGAATTAAGACAAAGTTTATTTTAAGAGTTTTATTTTCATAAAGCTCTTTTTGGCACCATCACCCAACCTTCCTATGGCTATGCATTAACTGTATTAGACAATCAAAATTGTATATATGATGGACACCAAATTACAGATTAGAATAGAATTTTGTATTTATGAGCATAGCAGCAAATATTTTATGTCTAGGACTTGTTTATCTTTGGAAAAAATACCATGTCTTTTTAAATTTTTCAGTTATGTTTAATCAAATTAATCTAAAAGGTTAGAATAGGTTTAAAATGTTAATCTATCCTTTCCCTCCAAAAAGACTTAGCAAGAAATACGTTGACGGTATACATACCTTGTTTTGTAGCTGGTTTGAAGAAATCTATAATTGACTGATTCCTGAAAATAAAAGCATAACTAATATGGTATCACATAAGCAAATACTAAAACCTCATTAATTCAAATTAATTGGCAACTACTAGATTTATAGAACATAAACTAGATTTCATTAACCTAGTTCTGAACAATAAGGCTTTGCTAAATTCATTATAAAAGCCTGAAAACAATTCTTTTTGCCACTTCCTGCAGGAGTTAACTTTTATGGACACAAATGAGGTTTATATAATTTATAATGCTAAACTGGTTAAGATTAGACTGTGGAGCCAAGAAATTGGTAGAGTTGTACTTTGTAAGACTCCAAAGCTCACTACTACAGGGCAGAATAGAAGATCTTAGGGACAAGGATCTATTTCTATTTTGTTCTTTCCAGTGCTTGGCACACCACCACTCTCAATTGAGGTTTGCTGAATAAAATAATGGAGATTATTAAAACAGATTCTCTGACAAGGAGTAGACAGCCAAAGTGAGACAGGACCATATTGCCAAATTTTCATTCTGATTTGTTCATCTACTTGTTACTAAAGGGGATATGCAACAAAACAAAGTATTTCTGACTAAGTATATTCATTTTACTGAAAGAAGATAAGCTGCAGAGGATAGAGTTCCCTAAACATTTATTTATTAAGAGGTGAGGATGCTCACGGAAAATTCAAACAAAATAACCGTCCCTGGAAGGTTAAGCTTTTTCTACATTTTGCACACTTGACTGGTCACATTAGAAGCATGTACATCTTTACTGAGAGTCCATGTTTGTCTTAGGTGCTGGTAGAAAGGCTAAGTAGTTAAGAAATGATGGCATGACAGCTACAGAAGCATCTGAGCATTGGCTTACATAATTATTAAGCAAATTAATTCCCAGAGTAAAGTAAGTTGCTAGAGGTGCTGCAGAGGAAGGATTTGGCTTTCTGTTGTTGGCTGAGGAGAGGTAGGAGAGAACAGAGAAGCAACTAAATTAATTCAAACCAAGATACCTTACTAGCGTGCTTTTATAATACCAAATATACTCTTGCCACCAAAATAGATTTAAGACTTCTTTTTCAATATACCTATCACAAAGGAAAATAATGGTTTGGGACGAAACAATTTTGTAAAATAACCATGAATTTAACTTCCAAGGTCATTTATAGAAACATCTCTCTTACTTTTATAATTTTTCTGATAATCAATTATAAGTCTGACAACCCCTTATCTGAAACATTTGGGGTGAAGTGTTTTGGCACACTGAATTTACCCGATTTTAGAGGTCTAGCTTGGATGTCCAAGTACTTCTGATTGAGTCAATTTGGACTTATAGTGACCTTCTATCAAGTTTCCGAGGCTAAATCTTTATGGGAATTTAAAAGAAACCAAACTCACTGCCAGCCAGTCCATTCTGACTCATTGTGACCCTACTGGACAATGCAGTACTACCATTGAGTTTTCCAAACAAAATCTGTGCACAAGTAGACAGCCTCATGTTTTAAAAGTTTTTCAGCCTCATCTTTTTCCTGCGTAGTGAACTTTTTTTTTAAGACGCTGGTGGTTTCAAACTGCTGTCCACTGTGCCACAAGTCTTTTGAGCACAGATCACCTATGTTTCTCATGAAGCAGTTGGTGGATTCAAACTGTCCAACTTGCAGTGAGCAGAGCTTACCCCACAGCGCCACCAGCACTCCTTTTAAGTGGGGTGTGGAGCTGTACGTTCATCTTTCTTCCGCAAAATTTAAGAACATTCCCTTTTTAAAAAAAAGAAATGTTCACTCTTAATGGGATTGAAAATAACAAACAAAACCCAAACCCAACCCACTAGTGTCATCACATATCCAGACACCTAGGAAGTGTACACTTTGTAGAGCTGTCCCACACACTGTCCAAGACTGTCTTTTGTGAAAGAAGTCCTGGGGGTCTAGTAGATCTTTGTACAGGGCTCCGAGCCACAGCATCTCTAGTTTGAATTCCCCAGCTGCTCCCCCAAACATGGGGCCTTTTGCTCCAGTAAAAAGATTTTCAGCCTCAGCCTTCCCAAGGCGCAATTCTACCCCGTCCATCGGGTCGCTGTGAGTTGGAATCGAATCGATGCCAGTGAGTTTGACTTTTTGCAATCTTTACAATAGCAGGCTGCCCCACATGATTTTCCTGCAGAGAGATAGCAGTTGGCAGCCAAAAGCACTTAAATCTTTGTGCCACTAAAGCACGTACTTAATGGGATAAAGGCCATCAACAGCCTTACTTGATTAGTTCTGGTTAGGATAAGCTGCCAAATGAGAGGAGATCTGGTGCCAAACTTAACTGGGAACTTTTTGGCTTTAATAAATTAAATAAATGAATTAAAATAACAGATTGTGGACCGGTTTCGATAGCAAACTGCAGTCGAACACGAATTTACTTTTTAACTTGTCACAGGCTTCGAAACTTATGATAAAAAAGACAGAACCAAGTGCATAGAGAATTTAAACATATTTTATTGTCGGAGTGTGTCATGTGGTAAAAAATCTTCATCTCGTTACATAGCTCTCACGAAGTTGGCTCACGGAATCTTCAGCGGGGGGAAAAAAACCCCAACAAACCCGACAAAAACAAAACCTGGCCACCGAAGACGCGGAAAGTTACTAAAAGTGAAACCATGATCATATTCCCATCCGGTCTGCTTGGGAAGCATGAATTATCGTGGTCGACTGGATTCTCGGGGACCTCCTGGAAGGGATTCCCTCATCACCTCGTCCCACCCCCAATACCACACCACGAGCATCAGTGGAACTGACGCGGGAGCGAACCCAGCCTGAAGCAGCGCGAAGCCGGTGGGGGGGCCCGGGACCCGGCTACGGGAACACAGCGACGTCTCGGGCTACCTACGAGGCGGGCCGACCCCCTCCGCGGCCAGCCAGGCTTCGGGGGCAGACCCCGAAGCGCTCCCACCGCAGCAAAGGAGACTCACACTCCCAGAGGCCCCTGCGCGGAGGCGGGGCGGGGGTTTGCTAGGCCCCGGAACGCCAGACCTGAGCTCGCGGAGGATGGCGGGAACTGGAAAAGCGGCCGTCTGCAGTCCTCCCTCGTCACCCTTGCCCCCGCGACCCGGCCCCTTCTCAAGCCCTCTGCACGGTACCTGTCCCCAGGACTCTCTGTTCTCTTTCCCGCTGCAGCAGGGGCGGTACTACCGGGTCTCGGATGGCAGCGCGGGGGCGACGACCCCGGGGCTGGGGATGAGGGGAAACCTGGCCTAGCGGGCATGCAGCGCCTTGTCATGTCGGCGCCGCTGGCGACGGCGGCATGGGCTGTGGCAGGCGAAGTTGGGTGCGTGGTGGCCGTCTTGCTGCTGGGACTCGGGGAGGCTGTCGGAGCAGAGGTGGGCGGCACCCCCTTCTCTCTTCATGGCGTTTTCTCTCTCTTCGGAAGTGACTCCCGTGCGAGCGGGAAGGAACCTGGGGACCAAGCGGGGGGCGGGCCGTGCTCCCGGAGACGCGTTATGATTGGCTGGCTCAGCTGCCATTCTGGTCGTGGCGCAATAGAAAGCTCAGCCTCTCGGGGGAAGGAGGAGTTTCGGGAAGGAAAGGGGGCGGGCATGAAAACTGCCCCTCCCACGACGTCACGTGCGCGGGGAGCGCGCCCCGCCTCGCGCGGGCTCTTGGCCTTGGCTGAGGCGCGGGGGCGGGAAGATGCGGGCCTGCGGGCGCTGCGGCAGCGGCGACACTCGCCCGGGGGCGGGGCGCAAGACCAGGCTGACAGCAGCGAACCAAACCGCGGCCACTGCCCTGGCTGAAATGGACCGACCCTTGGGCTTTCTGGCCCGCGCAATTGTCCCTAAGAAATGCCCAGCTGTTCCTCACATCCCATCGCTAACATTTTAGGCCAACCCCCGAGCGGTCACGCTTTCCTCAGTAGTCCGCACAGGCCAAACTGGAGACTTGCCCATTGTCTGAGGGTTCTTATGAAATGTTCGCGGTAGATCTCCCGTTCCTTTTTTTTTTAAGAAGGGGAAAAAACATTGAAATCAAGGATTTTTATCCCATAAAAAGCAATTTTTCTCTGCTGAAATGAGTTATCCGTAAGGTCTCTGCAGCCTGCTTCCATGGAGGGCTATAAAAGGAACATGGGGTCAGTTGTCAAGCACCCGTGAGCTTGTGCCAACAGCATAGATTAGTGAAAGCCTGCCACCCATATCCAGCCAGCTCTCCCAAGGGCTTGCGCTTTGGCGGCAGTTAGCACGAGTTTTCCCTGGTAGATGAGAGACTGGTCAGGTCATTGCTGCCTCAGTTTCCACAGCTATAAAGTGGATATAACACCACTTCTGTTAACCATAAATTGTGGACCATAAAAGAGATCAGCCATGTCAGCTGCACAGTTCAGTCGTGCGTAATTGGTATTCTGTAAATTATCTCTCCTTGGGTTTAGAGCCAGAGAAAGATGAGGCTGTCTGTTTATTCCTGTGACCTTTGGAAGTCTCAGAAACCCCAAGGGGCAGCGCTAATCTGCCCTACAGGGTCCCTGTGAGTCCGAAATGACTTGATGGCACCAAGTGTGGGGTTTTGGCTTCCTGGCAGACGCTGACACTCGTTTGTTGCTGTGAAGTGTCAGCCAGTCGGCTTCGACTCACACAGGAGGTACACCGTGAAACACTGCCCAGGCACAGTGGCTATGCATGTCCGTCCATCTTGTCCCCCGTCTTCCTCTTTTTCACTGACCTTCTACCAAGCATAATACCTTCTCCAAGGACGGGTCTCTCCCGATATCATGTCCACAGTACGTGAGATGAAATGTTCACTCCCAGAGGCTGATTAAATACTATTCTAGCTATTATTACAAACAAAATATCAATCCCAAGGATGCCCAGGCTCTAATTGACAAGCCCGTTCAATCAATTAGGATGGAGCAAAATCTCAAATGACTCAAAAAAGAATTTGAACAGGCCTTTAAAGTTTATTGTACTAAGATTTAATTGCTTCGGTAGCTAAGCATGCCTGACTGACCTGAAGTTCACCTCCTTTCCCTTCCCCACTCTCCCTCGGGAGGAAGAATTAATGAGTAGCAAAGTGGTCAACAGACTGGCACAGTGGAAGGTGGGAAGGTAAACAGTGAACATACAGGTCTTTCATTCATCCCAAAAGCATTTATTGAGGGCCTCTGTACAGCTCTATGCTAGGTAGTGGGGCAAGAAAGAAATATCCAATAAAAGGCACTTTATTCCTTTCAACTGAGACCTTACGACACCTAGCATTGTTTCTTGTATAAAAAAGAATAAAAGTGCTCAAAATGTGTCAAATGAATAAAGATGTGTGGATTAATTTATAAAGGGCTTTTAACATGTATTATTATTTCCTATCTTAGGGCTTATGTTTTCTACTGCATGCGTCTACACTCGAAGTTCATGCTTCTATAACAAAGCACATCTGCAGCACATATCATCTGATTCGTTTCACTGCATGCTCAGGCTGGATAAAAAATAAAAACACGTTTGGCTTGATCAATCAGTTCCTTTTCTTGGATGATAGCACTTGAATCACCCAGCCTCCAAGTATCACTTTAGAGTCTGCACTCACCATACCAAACAATAGTTTTCGCCTTTTCTTAATCTAAGGAAAAGATTATGGAGTTAAGTGAGGCAAGAAATCCCTTGATCAATAAATGGAGATGGAGTCATAATGAAAACACAATTTTAAAAATCTCTTCTTAACTGGGAAGTAGTTATCTAAATCCCCAGTAAGCACCAAGGCTCTTCTTCGTTTCAGCCATGTTTGAAATAATACAGATTTAGGCTTCAGGGTGAAATATGCTTAACATACTAATCAGAACTCCTGTAGTTCCTCTATGTCCCCACCTCCCCATAGGGTGTGGGACAAGCAGCCCTGGTAGTGTAGCAGCTGAAGGCTTGGTTACTAACCACAGAGTCATGGCTTTGAACCCACTGGTTACTGCAAGGAAGTAAGACGTGGTGGTCTGTGCCCTTATGTAAACATTTCATTCAGCCTTGGAATCCTATGGGGTAGTTCTACTCTGTCCTACATGGTCACCCTTAGTTAGAATAGACTCCATTGCAGGAAGTATAGTGTTTTGTGTGTGTACTCTTTGTTCTACTTTAAATCCGTACATATACACCACAAACAAACATGGACACACACACCTTTCTGAATCCTGGTTTTTACACATACATTTGTTCTGAGATGCTGTCCAGTGGATTCTGACTTACATCGACCCTAGGTACATTATTCTTATGTTGTAGCCTATCCTTGTAGCCACGTGTCAAGGGCTTTCCTCTTTTGCACTGTCCCACTACTTTACCAAGCACGATGTCCTTCTCCAGGGACTGGTCTCTCTTGACAGCATATCCAAAGTACATGAGAGGAAGTCTCATCATCCTTGTTCTCAGGTGCATCCTTACAGTACTTCTTCCAAGACATCTATTTTTTGGCAGTTCCTGGTACCTTCAATATTCTTCCCCAACATCATAGTTCAAATGCTGCACTCATTCTTCTCTGGTCTTCCTTATTCAGTGTCCAACTTTCACATGCATATAAAGTGATTGAAAATACCATGGCTTGGGGTAGACGCGCCTTAGTCCTCAAAGTGACAACTTGCCTCTCAACCCTTTACAGAGGTCTTGTGCAACATTTTTACCCAGTGCAATGCGTCATTTGATCTCTTGACTATTGCTTCCATGAGCATTGACTGTGGATCCAAGTAAAACAAAATTCTGGACAACTTCGATCTTTTCTCCGTTTTTCATGATGTTACCATTTTTCATGTTTTGATGTTAGTCCAGTTGTGAGGATTTTGATCTTCTTTACATTGAGTCATATCCATACTGAAGGCTGCAGTCCTTGAGCTTCATCAGCAAGTACTTCAAGTCCTCCCTTTCCGCCATCACAGGTTGTTAATATGCCTTCCTCCAATGTAGTATAGGGTGGGGGGTGCCAGCTCCCCCCACTGCCCACTGGTTCAGTAAGCACAGGTGTACGGTTGAGATGTATTTATATTATATTAAAATCATCGAGAGCATGAGCGATAGAAGAGATATTACAATAATGCAGTCAGACACGTTCCGTGGTAGCATTGCTCACCTCAGCCCCGCTTGGTGGTCCACGTGGAGAGAGAGAGAAGGGAAGGAAGGCAAAGGGAACAAGGGAGTGAGGACGGGAGAGGAGAGGGGGAGCTGAGGGGGTGGGAGACCAGCAAGAGAGCCCTCAATTGCTAACCCAGGCCTAGATATTCTCTGGGGACATGCAAGCCCACTAAGTACAGTTAAAGACATGCATCACAGGAAGGGGTTGTGCTATAGGTAATACAATAATAGGAGAGGGTGATCTAGGGACATAGGTAGAGGACGGATTGGGGGTATACAGGTGACAAGATGGGCGGATCCTAGATTTAGGATGGCAGCTTAACTTTGACCTGTTTTCTGGATCTCCATATGAACCATTATCAGTAGGGTGTGAACTCCACCTATAGGAACCAAGTCAAGCTTTAGGGAGAAGTAATCCAGCAGCAGGGAGCAGGCCCACCCCTGTGGTGTGGCAAGACAGCAGTCTGCCTCCAGGGAGGATGTCTGTCCTCCCCCCACACTCCAATCCTAATACTCCTTCAGATAATACAGCTTCTCTGATGACTTTCTCAGTATACAGATTGAATAAGCATGGTGAGAGGATACAACCCTGAGGTATCCGTTCCAGATTTCAAACCATGCAGTACCTATTCCCCTGTTCTATTCACACAACTGCCTTTTGACCCATGGGCAAGTTTCACATGAGCACAATGAAGTGTTCTGGAATTTCCACTCTTATCAAGGATCTCCAGACTTTGTTGTGATCCCGTCGAATAAATTTATAGTGGGCCAAAAATAAGTAGTCAGGAAACTATACCAGGTGAAAGATGGTAAGAGAGCCCAGGTATGCATGTGAGCAAAGAATAGGACAAGGAAAATGGGTGGAGTGGTAAAGAGGGCAACACACGAACTGGACTGAATTCCAAATTTATTGTCAAACCTCGGCCAGGATTAGAAAGACAGCTTGGAGCAACTAAGGCTAGCTAACCATAAAAGGCTAGTGTGGCAAGATTTATGGGCCTGGGAATCAGCAAGGGGGGAGCACAGGGATGGAGTGGCTTCCATAGGGTACAGTGCACCTCAATTCAGCACCTTGAATTGTTAAAGAAAAGTGGAGGCATGTGGGCTTTGGCCTTGATGGGAAGGGGTGGGACCACAAAAGAAACAAGATGACATGAACAACGGATCAAGATTGCTGGGAAAGTCCAGCCCGCGGTGGGAGTCCTGCAAGGAGTGACAATGTAACTGATGTGATAGATTCCAAGCAATCCCGGAGTCGGTCACACAGCTTGGGCAGATTGGATCAAGTTGTACTTTAATCAGCACGCTAGGCATA